TGCTCTGCTCCCGGGAGTTCTGGAGAGAGTGTGCCAACATGGAGTCCGTCTTCTGGTAGTAGCCCTGTTCTGGCCGGGGAGCACAGCTAGTAGCTTCTGGTCTCTCAACTGAGGTTGTTGAGACCATCCTCCAATCCAGAGCTCCCTCTACGAGGAAACTGTACGCCTTGAAGTGGAAGCTTTTCACTTCCTGGTGTAGAGACCGCCAGCTCGACCCAGCTAACTGCCCAGTTGGTACAGTACTGGAGTTCCTGCAGGCCCGTTTCTCTACAGGGTTGACCCACTCCACCCTGAAGGTCCACATGGTGGCCATTGGCCATTGGCATTCTCGCTCTGTCTGCACAGCGTACGGGAATGTGCTGATGACGTATCCTGTCTGCGTGAACAGGGTGCGCAGAGGTATGCAAATACATATGTTGACAGGCAGGTAGGAAAGTCAATGAAAATGCTCGGAATGAGCATTTTGATTGGACAAACATTTCTTGGTCCTATGCCTTCCACAGAATATATAAATACATATAAATTTATACCACTTAACCTAATGATTGCTATCGGGATGTGAAGAGACTTTCAACCAGCGTAACAAAAATGTTTTTCTGAAGACAATCATCTATTGCACCTTCAATAGGAGTGCTGTCAATCGATTAAAAAATTACAGTATAACGGAGAGCTGTCAATTTTAACATTTATTATACTTTATAAAAATAACGTCTAATTTAAGTGAGCTTAAAACAATCTTCAAATTAACCCATTATAATAAATGTCATATTTACCTGTGACCTTCAGCAAATAGGAAATATACAGCAATTGAATAAAGTTATCAAACATTAAATTCTAAATGAAATATAGACGAATCCTGAATCCTCTTCTTTTTTTTTTTCTTTTGTTCTTTCATTAACAGACATCACAGCAGCTGGGTTATTACGTTATTTGGCTGCTATTACTTTTAAGAGCTGCCGCTGCTGAATGTGATATGGATCTGACACGCATGCTGCTCTATAATGTGAAATGATACAGGCTACAGTGTTTTCCGCCATATGTGTGTATGCAATTGAAGAGTTTAACGCTGTTAAACTGGAAAAATTAATTGCCTGCATTAGCATGGTAAATTTGACAGCACTAATTAATAGCCATAGTTTCTCTCTTTTTTTAAAACCGTATAAATGAGTCTTTATACATGAAAAATATAAATTATGCAGCTGCCTTTATGTTTTAAAAAGGCCCAAGGGGGATCATCATATTTGGAGGTTTGTTACTTCAAGAAGTTTGACCCAATATTTTTGATCAGTGTTTCCCAACCTTTTTTTAGTCGCGGCACCCTTTGGAAATTTTACAATATTTGAATTTCTAACATCGATATGATAATTTGAAAAGTATAGATATTTGGTACAACAGGGAAGAACTGCAGAATATAATGTCATACAGATATTTTTAATATTATTTAAAAATTTTGTCCATCAATGGTGTCAATCAGTAGGCTAAATTCTAATGAAGAGACCAATTTATATGACAGATTTTAATGTAGGCTTATGTACATATGTAAACATTATTTAATTACCATTATAACTAGCTATCTCACAAATTTTTGCTCACTCAGTGTTTTGTTAATTTTACAGTGGGGTAATATTGGTGCAATAGCACGAGATAGCTTGATTTCAAACTTTGAATTGAATAAAAAATGACAAGTAAAAGCAGTCAGTAATAAAATAAGGTCAAATAAAGAAATTAATAATGATACCACAAATAAAAAATATCGACAGGCCTTCGAATTAAATGAATTGCTTTTTAGTTTTTCAGGTAGGTCTAACAGTAGGGTTAAGATATTTAACTTTTTTTTTTACCAATTATCCAAATAATGTTTAGTCCTAGAAAGCTATTATTATCAGAACACGCGAGCATAACATAGCGGTTAGCAGATCAATGAGAGGGCAGCGTTACCAGAGTTGCCCATATACCACACCATGTTACAGCACAGTAGGGCTATTGCAGACAGAAACAATAATGTACTACATCGATGTTTCCCGTCGGCTCAATTTTTGAGTGAACTTTGCTGTTCCGATTCGCATGAACGGTAAATGAGTGGAGCGACTGAGCAGAGCGTACACGCATAGAGCGGGATAATACGCAGAGTGTCACACCACGTGAAAGTGAAACCTGAGCGGTGAACTAATTTCTAATACTAATAATCTATAATTATTGGTGACATCAGAAATGGATATTATATAATAGATGCTTTTTTGAACATTTTAGCAATTTAAAAATATTAAAAAAGGATTTTTTACACGGCATCCCTGCTCTGGACAGACGGCACCCCAGTTGGGAAACACTGCTTTAGATAACCAGGTATAATAATTTGTCTCCGTATTCCACAATACCTTCTCACAAGATCTGTGTCTTTGGCCCTTCTCTCTTTCTTTTTAAATCACTCTTTACACTGTCTCTCTCCTCAATGTCAGAGCATCAGATAAAGGAGACAATGTTTTTTATTTATTTATTTTATTTTATTTACACCAGACCCTTCTTTGCAATTCTTGTCGCCTCTTTCTCTACTCTCTCACACATTCTCTTCCACCATAAATATCAAACAGCTAGCAGTGACATTGGTGGTGGAAATCAACTTACTCCTTGATGCTGCATAAACTGTGGCACACCAGAGGAGGTTAGTTGATTCCCGTATGGCATAATGTAGAAACAAACCTGAGAGTTTTCGGCCTTACTGTCGGCTGCTGCAAACCCGCCTGAATAATTCATCATATTCTTTGACTTTCCTTCTGCCTGTGTCTGCCACTCCTCCAATTCCATTTTGATTTGTGTAGAGAAAGAGCCAGAAAGATTCAGCATCACACAGCACATAATCTCATTCTCCTCCCTTCCCCCCTCCTGGATCTTTGGTTAGTTTGCATTCTCTCACCACAAAAGTCAAGTTTTACTTTCAACCTGCCCTGAGTCTCCTCTGCTGGGAGAAATCCAGGATCCAAAATCCAAAATTTGAGTTTTTAAAACGTGTTTTTGAAACACGATAGTGTCAATTTGGACATTCACTTTTTGGCACATAGTAATTGGTCAACTAGTCACTGACCAGCTAATGACCTTAAATTATGTTCTAACCAGATGTGATGCATTAAGATTCCAGTGGCAAGCAATTTGTTTGGCCATACCAGATGCAAGAGTGCTACAAAACATGACAAAATCACAAATCTCAGCCAATCAGAAGTGTGCAGATAGGCTCTCTCTGCAGGTGCTGTCTTACACTTGCAAAACATTGGACAAGTACATAATCAAATGAATAAAAATGCAATTATTACTAAAAAATTGCTAACAGCTAAGTCAGTCTTTGTCATTGAATACCCTGTTGATATTATCACTCAAGTTGTGAGTTGGAGACTGATTTTGGTTATACTTGTCCATACAGACACCATTTGATCTGCTTTTTTTCCTTTTATGTAGGCTACCAAGGTGCTGTGTATTTGACCATAGCCTTTGATTCCTATCCACATGCTAATTTTAATTGGTCTTCTCAATTCACACAGACCTGCAAATTGCAGCAGCATGGCTCACAGAGTTTGTTACAGACTCATAGAAAACGGACATAATAAAACTCATCCCCATATTTGCTTACATTAATGACAGTTGTGTAGGGAAAATGGTGATAAGAGCATGTCAGGGATGGGAAGTGGCAAAGGATTCCTCACCGAAGGCTTCAGACTTAAAAGCACACAGTCTATGTTTACCATAAGGGTAATCCTAAAATAGCAAAATTAGCTATTGGGCCTCTGTATCAAAACACATTTGCATGCATTTAATACTGAGTGGAATATGAAAAGATGGGTTGTGTTATATGGAGCCTCTGGCGTTGATGAGGGGCTCTTAATATTAATTTTACTAAATATGTAATGAATTTGGATAGTTACCTTAAGAAAAGTGCTATGGCTACACTAAAGCTTCGGTCACATTAGCAAAATTTGGGCAAAAGTTTGTATGCAAGAAGGGTCCATTTTCTATTGTCAGTAGTCTAGAGATTTTTGAAGCACAGCTCAAATAGAAATAGCTTTCAAACCAAAGCAGTTTTGTGTTGTTCAACACAGCGAGTCCCATTGACCAACTTGAACATAAAATATCTCAACCTTCACATAAAATTCCCAGTCATATTCCTTTTAAAATAGCTGGATTTTTTCCTGCAAAAACACAGTGTTTAAGAGTTGGCTCACAAAGTGTGCTGCAGGTTTGTTGATTCTGATCGCATTCTGCATTATATATTCTGCATTACGGCTTTGTTAAAGTTTTATTTGTCAATAGAGAGTAAAATATGCGTTATTATCTTGAAATTAATTACTTTATGTGCTAAATGGTTCAATTGGTACAAATTTTATTATTTTTACTCTAGAACATAACTTGTTTACTTGAAAATATATTGATTCATTTATTTACGGTTCTTTCCACTGTAATCTGATGCAAACAACCCTGAAATACCCACTTGTGGTGTCATAAAGCTTCTGGACCCCAGTTTGAAAAACTCCTGACACACACACACACAGTATATTAGTGCTGTAAAATGATTAATCGTGATTAATCGCATCCAAAATAAAAGTTTTTGTTTACATAATATATGTGTGTGTACTGTGTATATTTATTATGTATATATAAACGCACACACATACAGTATATATTTTGAAAATATTTACATGTATTTACATGTATATATTTATATTCATGTAATTTCTATTATATATAAATATATTTATTATATAAACATATTTTTTCTTAAATATATACAAGCATGTGTTTGAATTAATATATACATAATAAATATACACAGTACACACACATATATTATGTGAACAAAACTTTTATTTTGGATGTGATTAATCACGATTAATCGATTGACAGCACTTATATATATAATTCTTCACTTTTTTATATATCAGACTCTATCTTGCTTTAAAATTTAACTTGTGCTTTTAAACTCTAATTTTTATATATTTTTTTATCTCTTTCTGCAGGACGGCATGGGTCACCTGCGTATCACAGAAAGAGGCCTGAAACTGGAGGGTGATTCAGAATTCCTTCAGCCACTGTATGCCAAAGAAATCCAGTCCAGACCAGTAAGTGCACGTCAGGGCCTATCAGTGCGGTAGTAAGGAGGACATATATTCTTTATTTGTCACAATGTCCAGGCGTAATAACATCAGAGAGGCTGCAGTGGATGGATGGCTTGATAAGGTGTAGGGTGATGGTGTTATCTCTTCTGTCTAGTAAGAGTGAGGATGGAGAGAGTGAAAGACAGAGTGAGAGAGAGAAACAGACAGAGGAGATGAGGTCAATAGCAATGGCCTGATGGGACTGGTGATGAGAGGAAACTCCCATCCACTGCAGTAGGAAAAAGACTCACTCTAAGAATTAGACAATCGCCACACTAAAGTGGTAACACCAGGCACAGTAACCAAAATAAACAACATACAAATATTCATACATAAAATGTGTTTTTAGGAAATGTAGACTCTGAAACGTACATTATTAAAAATGTATTTTATAAATGAATAAATATATTTTCATAAACATGTATTTTACATATGAATAACTAAAGATGGACAGCTGTTTACAGTTTGGGTGCGAGCCGGTGGGGCTCGAGCCCCTGCACCTGCCCCTGCCCCTTTAATCTCAGACGGAAAAGTGTCCTTTCGGTCTGGTCTAGGTGTGCCCGGACGGACCGCGATTTCTACCAATTTCTAAATTTCCGTCCTAGTTTCCCTAGTCATCCTAGTTTTCTAACATCTCCCCTTTGACCACCTGACTCCATTCTGTTATCGAGCAGCTACTTTTCATCATCTAATTAATCCTTGATAAAAGTCTGTTTTTTTAATCATTTTTGTAACATATTTCTGTCCATAATGTCTACAATAAAGTGTTATCTATGAAATTGACAAAGAAAAAAGCTTTGAAAAAGTTTTGTTTTGAAGGTGTGATACATTCTAGATACATTTTCTCATGACAAGGAGTTTAATGAAATATAACTCACTTGAAAGATTGTTTCAAGTAAAACTGTGTTCCTCTTAATTAATTAATTAACCTATGCTCACTCTCACCCCCGAGCTATCTGCTATGGTTTCATCTTCGCTTCCTCCCCCTAAACAGTTATCATCTCTTGATGCTAACAGTGCTACTGATACTTTCTGCTCCACTCTTACATCTTATTTAGACATAGTCTGCCCCTTGTCTTCCAGGCCAGGACATACCACCCCTTCTGCCCCTTGGCTGTCTGATGTTCTCCGCGAGCATCGTTCTAAGCTCAGGGCTGCTGAAAGGGTGTGGCAAAAGTAAAAAAATACTACTGACCTTAATGTGTATCAGTCACTCCTCTCTTCCTTCTCTGCTAATGTCTCCACTGCTAAAAGGACATACTATCCTAACAAAATTAACAATTCGTCTAACTATCGCATGCTCTTTAAAACATTTTACTCCCTCCTTTGTCCTCCTACTCCCCCTCCTTCATCAACTCTAACAGCTGACGACTTTGCCACATTCTTCATTAATAAAATTAAAACCATCAGTGCACAATTTTCCACACTACAATCTGTCAAGCACATCTTACCAGCAAACTTACACTCGTTCACATCCTTCTCTTCACTCTCTGAGGCAGAGGTCTCCAAACTCATCCTTTCAAATCTTCCTACTACTTGTCCACTTGATCCTATTCTATCTCATCTCCTTCAAGGCATTTCTCCTGCAGTTGTACCTGCACTCACTCACATCATTAACACATCTCTTCACACTGGTGTTTTTCCCTCAACATTTAGACAGGCTCGTATAACCCCACTACATGAGAAACCCACCCTTAACCCATCTCTTTTAGAGAACTATATTGCAAATTATATTGCAAAAACACTTGAACGAGCTGTGTTCAATCAAGTCTCTGTCTTTCTCACACAGAACAACCTCCTCGACAGCAACCAGTCTTGTTTCAGAAGTGAACATTCAACCAAATAGGTTCTGTCATTCAGAAACATGGCTTTTCATATCACTGCTATACTGTTGACACTCAACTCTACCTCTCATTCCATCCTGATGATCGACGATAGCACCTCACATCTCAGCTTGTCTAACAGACATTTCTTGCTGGATGAAGGACCATCGACCTTCAATTCAACCTTGCCAAGACAGAACTGCTTGTGTTTCCATCAAACCCATCGTTTCATCACAATTTCACCATCCAGTTAGGCACATCAACCATAACTCCTTCAAAAACATCCAGAAACCCTGGAGTTAAGACTTTCTCAGACTACATTGCTAAAACTGCCCGGTCCTGCAGGTTTGCTTTATTTAACATCAAGAAGATCAGAACCTTTCTTTCGGAACATACTTCACAACTCCTTGTTCAAGCTCTTGTTCTGTCCAGGCTGGACTATTGCAATGCTCTCTTGGCAGGTCTTCCAGCCAGTTCTATCAAACATTTACAATTAATCCAGAACGCGGCAGCAATATTAATTTTTAACAGCTGAGTCCTTAGCCATCTTCAAGAATCGGCTCAAAACACATCTCTTCCATCTTCATTTGACTTTCTAACTCTAGCTCTCTCTATTCTAATTCTATTCTTAAAAAAAAAAAAAACCTGGCCCTTTTAGACTTGCACTCTATTTATTTACTAACTGCTTGTTTTCTTTATAAAAAAATAACTAACTCTTGCTTCTCTAATCTTTTTGTATTCTATCTATTTGTTTTCTTTTTATTTATTATACAATTAACAAAAGCAAAAAAAGGCCTCTAACTGTCACGCCCATGGACTGTTTTGTGTTTGTTTTCCTCCCCCACGTGCTCCATGTCCTGGTTTTCCTCCGTGTTTCTCTGTGCCCATATTGGGTTATGTTCCTGTTCCTAGTGCATTCATTTGATTCAGCTGTGTGTCATTGAGTTCCTCATTATGTTGTGAACTAAAGTCTTGTCTTCCCTGAGTTCCTTTGTCCGGTATTGTTCGTCAATCCCCTGTGCTACGTGTGCCTTCCTTTGGATGAATAAAGACTTTCTTCACGAATTCCCCCACGTCTCCTTGCTCCTTCACTCCTTGCTCATTCACAGTAGCAGCAGATATTGACACTAACACTAGCTTTCTTTATTCTTTTTCTATTCTATCTGTTTTCTTTTTATTTATTATAAGATAAAAAAAAACCTTTGCTACGTGTACTGCATTAAGCTAACTGAGACTTGTTAAAGCTCTTGCATATCATTGCTCTTTTGTTGATTTTGATTGCTTCCATTGTCCTCATTTGTAAGTTGCTTTGGATAAAAGCGTCTGCTACATTTTTTAATGTAAATGTAATTAGCCTCACACACAACTCAATATAAAAAAAAATTTCTGGCCTTTTTTCTTTAGAAAACCAGATGTTCTCACAACATTAAACAGCATCTACAAAGGAAGCATTTTACACTTATAAACTACAATACATAATTTACATTATAGACATACCTCTAGCTTTTAATGTGCAATACAATAGTTGTCAGACTCTGTTCCGTGTTTTGTGTTTTGCTCCCCCCGTGTTCCATGTCCTGGTTTTCCCATGTGTTATGTATATGTCTACCCTTGCTACGTGTGTTTTCCTTGTTCCTTGGGTGTTATTAAAATCTATGTTTGAATTCCACTCCTCGTCTCCTCGCTCCTTCGTCACGTGCTCCTCAAAATAGCGCAACGTGACAGAATTTCGGAACAAAACAGAAAAAGTGAGTGGCCCCACTTCTCCCCGAGTTTTTTTCCATTTTTGAAAGTCTTTTGTTTCCATTTTTTCCCCCACGCGATTATGGAGATCGCTGCATGCTTCATCGCACTAGCCTGTAGAGATCTCCCCTTCGTTGAGTATGCCAGGGAGTTCTGCGGGCTCACCGTGGCGATGGCTTTAGATGACAAAAAAGGACCATTGCCCCATGGACCTCCCAGACACCACGGGACTACGCTGGAGGGAAGGGATCCTCTGGTATCTGGAGAGCATCTTGCCCCGATCCAGAACCAGCCCGCCGGCCGCTCAGCAGACAGCCCGCTGGCCATGGCATTCTCAAGCCCGCCATTTTCCTTGTTCCCTGAATGTTATTAAAATCTACATGTTTGAATTCCACTCCTCGTCTCCTCGCTCCTTCGTCTCCGTGCTCCTCACAGTAGCGCAACGTGACAATAGTACTTTTTATTAAAGAGTTAACTGGAGCATGAATTATTGTTGTAATGATTATGACAGATATCTGTATCGTGCCTAACTGTTACTATGAAAGACTTAATTAAGCAGTTTCATTGTTTTTGTTGACTATTTTCTGCTGTATGCAGATGGCTGGCTTGAATTTTGCTGTTTTTAAACTGTTTTGTGTTTGTTTTCCTCCCCCACGTGCTCCATGTCCTGGTTTTCCTCCGTGTTTCTCTGTGCCCATATTGGGTTATGTTCCTGTTCCTAGTGCATTCATTTGATTCAGCTGTGTGTCATTGAGTTCCTCATTATGTTGTGAACTAAAGTCTTGTCTTCCCTGAGTTCCTTTGTCCGGTATTGTTCGTCAATCCCCTGTGCTACGTGTGCCTTCCTTTGGATGAATAAAGACTTTCTTCACGAATTCCCCCACGTCTCCTTGCTCCTTCACTCCTTGCTCATTCACAGTAGCAGCAGATATTGACACTAACACTAGCTTTCTTTATTCTTTTTCTATTCTATCTGTTTTCTTTTTATTTATTATAAGATAAAAAAAAACCTTTGCTACGTGTACTGCATTAAGCTAACTGAGACTTGTTAAAGCTCTTGCATATCATTGCTCTTTTGTTGATTTTGATTGCTTCCATTGTCCTCATTTGTAAGTTGCTTTGGATAAAAGCGTCTGCTACATTTTTTAATGTAAATGTAATTAGCCTCACACACAACTCAATATAAAAAAAAATTTCTGGCCTTTTTTCTTTAGAAAACCAGATGTTCTCACAACATTAAACAGCATCTACAAAGGAAGCATTTTACACTTATAAACTACAATACATAATTTACATTATAGACATACCTCTAGCTTTTAATGTGCAATACAATAGTTGTCAGACTCTGTTCCGTGTTTTGTGTTTTGCTCCCCCCGTGTTCCATGTCCTGGTTTTCCCATGTGTTATGTATATGTCTACCCTTGCTACGTGTGTTTTCCTTGTTCCTTGGGTGTTATTAAAATCTATGTTTGAATTCCACTCCTCGTCTCCTCGCTCCTTCGTCACGTGCTCCTCAAAATAGCGCAACGTGACAGAATTTCGGAACAAAACAGAAAAAGTGAGTGGCCCCACTTCTCCCCGAGTTTTTTTCCATTTTTGAAAGTCTTTTGTTTCCATTTTTTCCCCCACGCGATTATGGAGATCGCTGCATGCTTCATCGCACTAGCCTGTAGAGATCTCCCCTTCGTTGAGTATGCCAGGGAGTTCTGCGGGCTCACCGTGGCGATGGCTTTAGATGACAAAAAAGGACCATTGCCCCATGGACCTCCCAGACACCACGGGACTACGCTGGAGGGAAGGGATCCTCTGGTATCTGGAGAGCATCTTGCCCCGATCCAGAACCAGCCCGCCGGCCGCTCAGCAGACAGCCCGCTGGCCATGGCATTCTCAAGCCCGCCATTTTCCTTGTTCCCTGAATGTTATTAAAATCTACATGTTTGAATTCCACTCCTCGTCTCCTCGCTCCTTCGTCTCCGTGCTCCTCACAGTAGCGCAACGTGACAATAGTACTTTTTATTAAAGAGTTAACTGGAGCATGAATTATTGTTGTAATGATTATGACAGATATCTGTATCGTGCCTAACTGTTACTATGAAAGACTTAATTAAGCAGTTTCATTGTTTTTGTTGACTATTTTCTGCTGTATGCAGATGGCTGGCTTGAATTTTGCTGTTTTTAAAAGCATGATTCTTAGAGAAGACCATCTGCCCAACATTCAAAATCAACCCAGACATGTATGCTGTGTTCATTTATGATCGGTCCCTAAGCATAGAGCAAAATCTTTACCAAGTGTTTGCATAGTACTGTGCCCGAGGGTAGACTTCACAAATGCTCACCATTTTGTGCACTTGCTTTCCTCTAAAAAATCAGAGGCTCATGTGTATAACACTACAAGATAATTTTTAGTGACTATCTTTGTTTTCCAGTTAAAATATATAAAAGCCCATAACACAAGATAAATTAAACTGATAAGAAAGACTACATACAATAATACAAACTTGTTTCAGAGACTGTATCTTGATTGTGTGTGTTTTGACTTGTGGAACTGGTAGAAAAACAAGTAATTGCAATAACACAAAATACATTTATATTCAAGATAAATCTCTAAAAATCTATGTCTTACAAGACCTAATTCTATTCCTACAAGACACAATCTAAGAAATTAGTGTATTATTATTATTATTATTATTCTGCATTGAAAAAAAGTATTAATTAATTAATTCATTCATTCTCCTCTTTTTCATGCCAGGGAAGTCCATTGTTCCTGCAGTCATCTAAGAATGTGTCTGTCAACATCCTCAATGAGAAAAAGCAATTAGTATCTCAACTCATTGCAGGTAAGCACACAAATACAAACACTCTTAGGGTAAGAATAATTTAAAACTCTCATGCAACCTCTTTGTGATAATTACAATCGTCTTGCTCACCACAATTTCGCAGACTATAAATTGGAATGAAGATTTCACAGATCTGTGGGCGTTTATATTAGCATAGATAGCATGAAATTAAATATTCACTGATCTCAAGAGGCAACAATGGGCCAGTCCGCTCACGGAAGGAAAATGAATCCAGGCAGCTAATGTTAGACTTTATAGGACAGATAGTAAAATGAATATTTAGACAGAGTTCAAGTGTTGATATTCAGGTTGTTAGTCTCATCTCTCTCATGATGTAGCCTTTATAACTGTGACTAGAGACTTCATTACAGCACAGTAATTGCATGTGCATGGATGCATGTACTATTAAGTCCTGGCTAATAACGTACTTGCAAGTCTGTATTTTAATGAAAGTAATTTTGCCTTTAATGGACTAGCTAAGTGACTTTCACTTGAATTACGGTGTTAGAACATCTGTATACAAAACAAAATTAAAGTGTAAGAACAAGCATGTGTTTCATTAGCTGAATTCAAAAGTGTTTTTTGTACAAACTGGTCAGAAAAAAAGTTATTAGACATTACAAGCTTGTATGTGTCAGATTAGACCAATAGGCGGTAACACTTTTAGTTTTAGTTTAAGGTGTCCTTGTTACACATATTACATGTACTTAATGTTACAATAACAATTAATTATGCATAGTTACATGCAAGTAACCCTAAGCCAAACCCTTATACTAACCCTAACCATATAGTAAGCACATATAGTTAATTAATATTACTCAGTACTTAAATGTACAGTATAATTACACTGTAACAAGGACACCTTAAAATAAAGTGTAACCCAATAGGCGTATACTTAATTACTTGCTATTTGTTTCACTTGATATGTCAGAAAATATTTCTTAAATTAAACTTGTTTTTAGACTGCACACTGAAATGAAATGTTTAAAAAAAAAAATATATATATATATATATATATATATTTGGCAGGTTCCCATGGAGTTCATGCAAGAGGCAAAATGCTGGAGGTAAAATCAAGTGCAGGAAAGCTGCTCTTCTCTGCTGACGACCATGAGGTGGTAGTTGGTGCAGAGAGATTACGAGTTATGGGTGAGTGAACAATTAAATTATAACACATTTGAGGGCATTTTTGTGCTCACACAAAGCCTTAGCCCTGTTCCCAAAGAGTTATTTGGCACAGTCTACAAAGAGAAAGTAGCCTGAAATCTTATGTATTTTATTTATTTATTTACTTATTTATTTTTGCTTATGATCCTCACAGGGCTGCTTTTAAGCACAGACTGACGTGAGATATTGTGCAAATTGTGTAACTGACAGAGCAGTGTAATTAAAGCATCTACTAAAATGTAATGAAATATTTGTAATTTATGTTGGTTGCAAAAATAATTTCACCAGACTACTAAACAGCTACTTTTAAATGACCATCAATGGAAAACAATGCTTTTTGACTCCATCATCGTGTAATTACATCTATCAGAGCAGAAGCATACTGGACTGTAACATACTAACTCATTGAAACATGGAATATTTTATAATATTGTCTATGATACAGGTTTTCAAACTAGGGCAACAAGGAGGTTTGTGGGGGATAAAATATTTTACAACATGCAAACATGATAGGGCTGTCAAATTTAACCTGTTAACTTAAGATAGTAATTAAATGTTTAAAGTAATATTTTATATATATATATATATATA